CCGGTCAAAGCAGGGCCAGACTTTTTTGAACAGTCCTTCCAGCCTCTACAGCTGGGAAGGGGGTTGGGGGGGTGCGGTTGGAGGCAGCCCCAAACTGCCTTGCTCAGAGTCTGGCTCCTGGGCAAAGCACCCCAAGCACCGAATGAGGGTGGAGATCCTGGCACCTCACTCCAGCTCAGCTGCACCCATGAGTTCAGTACCCAAATGCAGGGAGGTGACAAACCATAAAATTACAGCCCCAGAATTTTAGAGGATCCAAGACCAGGCTGGGCATATTTTGAATACTGCAATGCTAGGAGCAGCAGCCTCAGCCCTGGTTTCCACCACCCCTGCCACCTCTCAAGCAGCTTGTCCACTCCCTCCCTGGGAAGACAAATGGATTTCTCCTGGGAGGGAGGGCCTGGGTGTGCAGCTGAGAAGGAGGGGCAGAAGGAGAAGGAGCTTAAAGACTTGAAGACACTTTCCCACTACGAGCAGCAGCCCCACAGAGCAGCAGGCAAACCAGAGAGCTGACTACATCCCAGGCCTCAAGTTAGCCCTGCGTCTGGGAGCAAGTTCATCTACCTGAAGATAAAGTACATCAGAGAACACAAGGCCAGAAAAGTTCAGGAACCAAACAGGCTGAGCACAGAGAGGCAGAAGGCCTCAGAGCTCCTGGCCCTACCTGTCTTCTTCCACACCCCCTAAATGGACCTATGGGAAATATTCTCAACTCCAGGGTCTCCTTTTCCAGGGAGAAAAACCCAAGGCTGCTCCCGTTTCAGAGTACATCCTCTTCCCTTAGGATATGTGCCTCCACATTAGGGATTTAATGGGATGGGGAGAACTGAGCTGGGGTGGGCTAAGTAGAGTCCCATGTTTATTCTTTGCAGACCCTGGTTGGATTCCGGTGTGTCATTTGGGGTTTTTTTGTTTTGTTTTTTGTTGTTCTTGTTTTTATTGTTTGGGCGGGGGTGGGGGTGGGGGGTCGCCAGGCCTCACAGCTTGCGGGATCTTAGTTCCCCAACCAGGGATTGAACTTGTGCCCTTGGCAGTGAAAGTGAGAAGTCCTAACCACTGAACCGCCAGAGAATTCCCCAGGTGTGCCATTTTGTAGTTTTGTTATCTTGGGCAAGTGACTTATCTCTAACAGTCTCCTGATGGGTGTTTTGTCATATACCTACCTCAAAGGGTTCTTTGGAAAATGAAATTAGACAACGTTTGTAAAGCACTTAACATGGTTCTTAACATAGCATTCCATAGACTTTAGTTCTTATTAATTTAAGCGAGTGGGAATCATGTGATATGGGCTACATAACCACCTGGATTTGGGGATCATAGTATCTGTCTTCAAGCTTTGAAGAGCTGTTGGTGGAAGAAAGAGTTGAGTTATGACCAGCAGCCCAGGAGAGCAGATATTAGGGCAGTATAAGGAAGAGCTGTCTATGAGTAACTATGAGACATGTCCAGCAATGATGCCAGCAGCCTGGAATGGACGTGAGCACCCTGTCACTGTAAGGATATGACCACAATCAGAGACACTAAAAAGAAAGAACAGGGAGTTCCCTGGTGGTCTAGTGGTTAGGATTCGGCACTTTCACTGCCGTGGCCCGGGTTCAATCTCTGCAGTCCCTGGTCAGGAAACTGAGATCCCTCAAACTGCGCAGCGCAGCCAAAAAAAAACTTTTTTTCTGCATGAGGAGTTTACACATATGGCCTCCAAAGTTGCACTTCCAGCCCTGAGCCTCTTAATTCCTAGGCGAGCTAGTTTCTTGGGGTCAGTCTGGGGGACTTAGCCCAGGCATGAGCCCCCTCAGAGAGCTACCTGCAGTGGCACAGCTGTTCTTCTGCTTGGAGTTCTGTCGGGACTCTTTCATCCAGGGAAAGATCTGCTTGCTGATGGTGGCTGAGGAGCCAGAAGCAGTGGGCCCACCCTTGGCCTTCTTGGCAGGTACTCCACCTCCAGGGTTGGTGGGCGAGGATGGGGGCAGGGCTGGTGGGGGAGGAGGGGGTGGTGGTGGCTGCTGCTCTGAGTTCAGACCAGGAGGCTGGCTGCCACCACCCCCTCCCTGACTGTTCGCAGTGCCAGGCCTCATGCAGCTTCCATTGAGTTCAGCCCCCTTGTGGGCTGGGGCTGGCAGAGGTGCAGAGCTCTGGATGGAGCAGGCAGAGCCCGGGTAATCAGTGTCCAGGGAGTTGGCAGCAGCAGGGGGTGGATAAGGCTGATGGGGGGCACTATAGCCGTAAGTGTCAGCAGCTTTGCTGTAGCCATAGCCTCCAAAGAGTCCTGGGCTTTCATAGTAAGCAGCCTTCTGCATCGTGTACTCAGGAAGCTCCGGGGCCTGCTGACCCTGCTCAAATAACATTGACCACCACTGTCTCCTTCACCACCACCTCCAATGTCTGCCAAATCCTGAGAGAGCTGGGGCAGCTCCAGGCTCCAGACAACCTGCAAAGAAGAAAAATGAGAGGCCCCAGAGGGACTGTCATTGGCAAGACCAGTCAGTATAGAAGGACTAGCCCAGGCTCTCTGCTTCCCACCAACTTAATAGTAGGAGGATCTGAGATTTTATAAAGTTCAACTTATTTGAGCCCTTGGAAAAGTCAGAAGGAATTTCTCATAAACACAAAAAAAGAGTTTCCTTTATCCAAGGGAAGGGGCTTTTTTTTTTTTTTTCCAGATACAATTTTCTTTCTCCAAGATTGTCAATTTAGCCTTTGAAACTACATAGAAGAGCATTTATGGCCTGATGCATTTTTTTTTTTTTTTTTTTTTTTTTTTTTTTTTTTTGCGTTATGCGGGCCTCTCACTGTTGTGGCCTCTCCCATTTGCGGAGCACAGGC